CCTTCCCTTTGTCTGAATGCAGATTCTGACCAATACACAAGTGTGAAGATGCTTCCTTAACTCTTCTGCCCTGAGAGTCGAATAAAACACTGGCTATCCCTAGTTAGACATTAAAGTAAGATATCCCACATGGCCATCATAAACATCCCTCCACAGGTGCTGGGACCTTCAGTCTTCCAGTGACAGGAAACCAGTGGTAAAGTTGTAACGCTCAGTTGTTACAAGTACAGCTAGTGATTTAACTCTGAGGCCCCCCTACTCCCAATTGAATGGCAGTATCACTTTTAGGGATCTGACAGTATCATTTAATTTGTGTTCTGGCTCCAGCTCTGTCTTTATCCTGTATCCTACATCCTTTATATAACATTGAAAGGCCAAATACAGCTCTGGGAGCTGAAAAACTGAGGCAGCCTTGCACCCCACTTGAAAGTCGTGAGGTATAAGGGATAACATGCAGTTCAACTTGGATTTGAGCGACCCAGCAATGACGTTTATCATAGCCGATTTCCAATGATCAGTCATCGGAACCATCTCAAAGAGTCACTGCAGGGTTCAAAGAGGACAGCTCTCCTTTAGGGCAGAAGTCACAGGGCCAGCATGCAAAGTATAAGAAGATACAGGCAATCAATCAAACCACTGTCCCATTTAACTGCGCAGGGTTGCATTTCCTGTCCAATGTGGGAACAAATCAAAGACTTCCTTCTAGGGATTAAAGTGAAGCAACCGAGATTGGAAAGCAAAGAACAATCTGCAAGGCACGAAGAAACAAAACTCACTTCCCCTTTCCAAACCAGTTGCCGACACACGTCACCACCGATGGCCAACCGGTTGTCTGAGCCAAGCCATTCAGGATCTAATAGAGGGCACAAGAGGGGAAAAAAACCAGTTAACTGCTGGAAGGGCATGCGTCTTACCTGTATGCATTCACTCTCTCTCTCTCACATGCGCAGACATATGCAAGTAAGTCTTTGATGTATGTCTACAATTCATTCCAACATTTCTCTGTTGCTAAGGTGAAGCAGTTGATAAGTGGATTTGTCCACATTTTTGCAACATCTTTTGCCACGGTTGTTAAGTGAATTGCTACAGTTATTTTTTTTTNCCGCCGGCCCCGTTCCAACCGAACCGGTTGGAACAGGGCGAGAAACCCACCCCTGGACTGCCAATAGGTGTAAAGGTACATATGGTAGATAAGGGAATTATAAATAATAAACAACAAATTTAGTGAGGGTTTGGGTGAGGTCTCCGTGAATTCGGAGTGCAAAATGGACATGGCCAATGGATTCAGAGATGCATCGGTATGCTCAGGAGGGAACTGATTTTCGAAGATCCATTATCTACCTTTCCTGGTAAAACACCTGAGAAAACCCCACTGGGAGGCAAATCCATTTAGGATTAGGGTTAGGTGTCCATGAATGACAGCAAAATGGACATCACCAATGGATTAGGAGTGCATGAGTATGCTGTGGAAGAAGCAGTGCTGACTTTTTGTCCCTGCCTTACTTATGTTTCCTGGTAAAATACATGTATCGAAGTAATTTTCTGGCAAAGAATGTAGTAATGTTGTTACCTGCCACTAGGTGGTGACAGCCACTTGAATAAAATGTGGCCCAGGAAATAAGAAACATTAGAGCCCCCACCCCACCCCCCCACCCCCCATTCAACTGAGCTGATCTCATTAACACATCATCAAGATATTTCTCCGTGTTGATGTTATGACAATTATGGCTTGCATGATCCAAAATGTGAGAATTACTTTTATTTAAATCTGTAGCATTTTTGTTCATCTTTTTTTTTTGCAATTTGAGAAACTGATTCAGCCTGACACAATATGTTATTTACACATATTTAGATTAAGTATTATTTACCTATCATTTCGCTAGCAAAAACCATAAAGTTTTAGTTAGAGGACATTCATTGAACTGGATATTTTTTTTTTCTCCTGGGTCATATTAAAATATTTAGCACTGCAGACATTTCAGCTAAAAATAATAATTTTCAGGGTCGATCTCTGCTGCAGGGGAAAATTAAGGGTTTTAACCCCATTTCACACATTTTTCACTTAGGGGGGGGAGGAAGTACAATACACCATCTTGGGAATTCTGACTGCTAGAATTAAAGGTAAAGGTTCCCCTTGCACATATGTGCTAGTCGTTCCCGACTCTAGGGGGTGGTGTTCATCTCTGTTTCAAAGCCGAAGAGCCAGCTCAGTCCGAAGACGTCTCTGTGGTTATGTGGCCGACATGAGTAAATGCTGAAGCTGAATGGAATGCTGTTACCTTCCCACCAAGGTGGTCCTATTTTTCTATTTGCATTTTTATGTGCTTTCGAACTGCTAGGTTGGCAGAAGCTGGGACAAGTGGTCCCCTCCAAATCTATTCTATTCTATTCTATTCTATTCTCCATTCCACTATTCTATATTCTGTTCTATTCTGTATTCTGTATTCTNGTTACCTTAACAGTTCCTAGGTCCTTGGTTAGGACTCGAGCTGTTGAGCTACCAACCAGCCCCAAAGGCTGTGAATCTCACCAAAGATTAACCACATAATAATAATAATATAAACAATTGCAAAGAAAAAACTTGAACAGTGCTTGAACAGCTTATGATGAGTGCACAAGTACCAGTGTGCAATTTCACAGAGCTCAAAAATATCTTACATTTTATTTGTCCATGGGTATAAAACAGTTTTAGTTGACTCTCAGGACTGGCAAAAGAATGCTTTCTGAATCCTATATGAAGGACTCAGGGTGCGAAAGGTTTGCTAAGGCTGATAATTTGCTTACTACATAGTGTAATTTCTGTTTTTCTGTGTTTTGTCTTTGACAGCTTCCTGTGACAATTACAATTAATACAATTATTAATTTTGCTGTAATAAAGATCAGCTAGATATTTATCAGTTTCAGCCAAAAAGAGGAGTGAAGATTTTATTTTTTTACATGAACAGTTACTATGGAGAAGGGTTGGCCCATGGGAGAAGCAGAAAACCTTTCCAGAATATCTGCTGGATAAATAGAATTGCTTTGAATCAGCTCTCTTCCAAGTTTCAAATTCCTTCCAAGTTTCAACTTCTATGAGTTGCTTTAAGCCAAGAATTTCCGTTCTCCTGAGATTCACTGATCCAAGGTGTCGTGTTACACTGGGTAGAAAGAAATGTCTTAGCTGTGCCCACGTAAATGAGCCACTGTGCTAGGCACATAAAATCTGAGTCTGTTCAAGCTCAGAAAATTTAAAGCAGATGAAGATGCAAGGTATTTCATCCATAGCTATGTATATCAGAATCAGGGTGTTTTGACATTTGATGCCAAATGAGGGATGAACTACACATTACGTATACGTGAAGTCTGGCCACTGTTTTAATTCACTAAATTATAGTTGTGCAAAGTATCGCCTCCCCTCGGGGGGAAACTGAAATAAAAATCCACAAACGCACACATGCAGGGCTGCAAAACTGCACCCGAGTGAATTAAAAGTTGTGGGTTGCCAGCGTTGACTCAGATGGCAAGCCAAAAAGTAGTAGGATAAAGAATAAAGAATAAAGAACAAGTTCATCCTTACCAAATCAGCTGACACGGCGGTTGTAATGAGAGCATAGGGGCCATTGACAAGGCCACCACAGATAATGAGCATTGCTGAAGAAAAGAAAAAAGGAAGAGGATCGTCAGCCCTACAACCTAACCAGGTTATTTTCCAGTTAAGGACAGGTAGTCCTTGGCTTATAAACAAAAAAGCTGTCTAGAACCAACAGTAAATATTGCTCTCCAGGTCAGTGTAATGTGAGAATTAGTCCTGATTTTCTTTTGGGAAGTTAACATGCATTTGTAGCAAAAAAAAATCTCCAGAAAGGAATGCGTTCTTACCTATGGATGTACCTAGTCCATTTTGGCCAACATAGTTGTACAGAAAGAGCTGGAACCAAAAGCAAAGCAACAAGTGAGAATTCATCCATAAAGAAAAATCCACCAGCAACTTGGAACAGAGCGCCTGTCTCAAACAGGTGGTGGCCACAGACTCATTTTATATTGCTGATTATTTTTGACAATACCATCTTCAAAAAATATCTGGGACTCTTCAAACTTTCCATTAATTGCAAGCAGCGTGGCTAAAGGCAAACAATTGTGGGAACTTTGCTTCAAAACATCAAGACAACCTAAAGTTGGAAGAGGGGCTTAGAGGCTACCTTGCCTCTAAAATATAGGCCAAGGTTTGCTTGAATTCTGCTTAGCTTGTTGTACAATCTCAGACAATTATGGCTTATTTGGTAAAATATATAATGAGATGGAACTATTTGCAAATCAGATTGCAGTACATAAAAACTGCCAGTGAAATGTTTATTTAATTCAACGCTAGCTTTTCCATCAATGATCAACCAGAATACTGCATAAAGCTAACAATTTTCTTACATACCATTTCCCCCAAAAATACAACCTACTCCAAAAGTAAGTCCTAGCTTGATTTTTTTACACGTGCGCCCTACCCTCAAAATAAGCCCTAGTTAAGACCTTGCCCATTCCGGGGTGCACGAGGTGAGGTGAGACACATGGGTGAAAATTAAGCTAGTGTGGAGATGCGGGAGCTGCCCTACTTACCAGGCCTCACACACGCCGATACCTGCCTTGCCTTGCAGGCCCACTTCTTCTGTGGCCACTTGCCATCACTCACACACGTCGCCCCAGCTTCCATTTTGCCACCAGAGCCCTTCTGGAAAACCCTCTGCAGCTGATAACAGAGCTCTGGATTCATCCGGAACTCTTATCGGCTGCAGAGGCCTTCTGGAAGGTCTCTGATGGCAAAACGGAAGCTGGAAGTGACACACGCAAGCAGCGGAAGAAGAAGTGGCCACCAGAGCAAGGTGAGTCAGTAATTAGACATCCCCCGAAAATAAGACCTGTTGCCTTTTTTTGGTGGCAAAAAATAATAATAAGACCCGGTCTTATTTTCAGGGAAACACTGTAGTTTCTCCTCCCAAAATGATACAGTACTTATGAACCTGGAGGTGATATGGGAATACTCACCATGGGAGCTGCCAGGATAAGCATTGCACAGCAAGTGGTGGCCCTGCCTCCAGTGTAGTCTGATACGAGACCAGCCACAATGCCACCTGCAGGACAAAAAGGTATAGTTTCACAGCAGAAGATGCCAAAGCTAAGAGCTGGTGGGAAGGCAGGTGCCGATCCTACACTTAAGTCCAGAGTTGTGTTTTCCAGAGCAGAACTGAGCTCCCAGCTACTTTCCACTAGAGCTGCCGGAAGAAATGGAACGGCAGCAAAAACACAAAGAAAAGCATAATTGCTGGCTGACATCTAGTCTTCACCCAGATTCTTCCAGCCAAGATTTGGTGGCCCTACTTTCATTTCAGCAATCTAAATTTAAATGCAGGGGAAGGAGTTTGATGATTGTTGTTTTGGAGTCAAGAAATGCTTCATGATGTGCGAATCACTGAAGAAGCCACCCAAATATTGAAAATTCTTTGGGTGGAATTTGCACCCAAACGCTTCCTACCCATGCCTGCTCTTGACCGTCAACTCATCGCCCCAACGCCACCCCTTTTCCTAGACTCTGATGCAGAAATGAAAAGAAGGCTCCAGGGAAATCAATCCAACATACCAATAATGCCACCAACATCAAACAGAGTTGACATATCTCCAGCTTCTTTTGCACTTAAGCGAGCTGCAACAATAGAAAGGAAGAGGAGTAAACATAGCAATAGCAATAGCAGTTAGACTTATATCCCGCTTCATAGGGCTTTCAGCCCTCGGTTTACAGAGTCAGCATATTGCCCCCAACTGCAATCCGGGTCCTCATTTTACCCTCAGAAGGATGGAAGGCTGAGTCAACCCTGAGCCGGTGAGATTTGAACAGCCGAACTGCAGAACTGCAGTCAGCTGAAGTAGCCTGCAGTGCTGCANTACTATATATAGTCTCCCTTTATTTATTTATCAGCACAAATAAAACGCACACACACACACACACAAACACACACACACATATATATGGATATGGATATGGATATGGATATGGATAGGTATGTATGTATGTATGTATGTATATATGTTATTATCATTCGCTGCAGTTATTAATTTAGTAGCAAGGTTATTCAGTGAATCTGGCTTCCCCATTGACTTTTGGCTTATCAGACATTTGCAAAAGGTGACCCCGGGACACTGCAACCGTAATCTGCCAAGTGGCTGAATTTTGATCACATGAGCATGGGGGTACTGTAATGGTCATAAGTGTGAAAATTGCTCGTCACTTTTTTCAGTGCTGTTGTAAGTTTGAACGGCCATTAAACAAACTGTTGCAAGTTGAGGACTACCTATAAAGCTGATTCTAGAGAAGGGGGGGTGTTAATCTTTTGCAAGGAAAAATACTCTAAATGTCTTGGGACATCCTAAAAATGAACACATGATAACAGCGTAAGCTTTCGAGAAGCAAGTAAGAAGTTACGTGGTGGGCCACCAGAGCTCCTGTAGGAGGAGAGGAAAAAGGAAGGCGGGGAAAGCAAAGATGAGGCCAATCCCCCCCCTCCCAAATGGTCCTAAATGGGACACAGACATTCCCTCACTGAGTAGCTAACTAAGTAACCAGACGGAAAATGTGTGATTGGAAAAATGTAATCACGTCAAATCACTAAGAAAGTTTTTGGCAATGGGATGGAAAAACTTGAGAATTCTTGCTCAACAGGCTACAAAAATAGCAGGGAGCGGGTCAATGCGTCACAGCCCACTAGAGCTCACAGAACGATGTTCTGGAGGGGAAAAGAGGGACGGAAGAATGGGGAAGATGCCACTTTGTCCTCCTGAAAATAAAAAATAAAAAGGCAGAGGAGCTCTAGAAAACAGGCAGGAGGTGGGCAGATCTCCAAAACGCCTGTTAAGATGTTGCCACTGTCCTCTTGCTCTCCTTGCCCCAGATGGGAAAGTTAGATCAGGATGTTAGTTAGCTGATTTGGTTCTGATTTATATCACCCAATGCTTTCCCCCACCTTAAGAACTTCACCCAGCTGGAAAGGGAGCTTGCGGAAGGCCACAGCACTGGGTTCCTCGGGGATTTCTAGGTGGTTATCAGCCTGATGAAGCAGCCATGGCAGATCTTGGTACAACTTTCAAGTCCTACATAGTCCCTCCTTTGTGGTGGCTGCAGCATTCTTCCTTCTCCAACAGCTGCGGTTGAGTGACTCAGCAGAGGCTCTTTCCCAGCCAGTGACAAACGTCATTCCTTCCCCAACGAGCCTTTTTCTAACGCTGCCTCCTTCCAAATCCACAGCTGCTGCCTTTGCCAAATCCTCAGCTCCTCCCTGCTTCTTCTTTCTATGCAGCATTATATAACAGAGGCCATTTATAAATGGACACAGCCTTACAGTATGCGCGTGGCTGCTCCTTTTAAGTGTACAGTGTGGACGGCCTAGGCTCTGGACCATGCAAAAAGCCCTTCGTTCAGAGCTCCGTGAAAAAAAGAACTTTGCACCGCTTCCTGTTTCAAATGTTTCAAAGTTCTCTTGGAGGCAGAAGGCCATCATCGCCTAACACAGGGTTCCTCGACCTTGGCGACTTTAAGTCCTGTGGAATCCCAGAATTCTGGGAGTTGAAGTCCACAGGGCTTAAAGTCGCCAAGGTTGAGAAACACTGAAACCGGTCTAGGAAGCATGGCTTCTCTGTTGCAGCGCCTGATCTCTGGAACAACATCCCCCACCCCCACAAGATTCACTGGGTCTTCTTCCAAAAATTCTTAAAAACTTCGAATAGCAATAGCAATAGCAGTTAGACTTATATACCGCTTCATAGGGCTTTCAGCCCTCTCTAAGCNCTTCCGCAAAGCCCTTAAAACCTGGCTGTTCCGACAGGCCTGGGGCTAAAGAACTGTTGCCCCCGGCTCGAATTGGTATGACTGTTGTGTTTTAACTATGCATTGTTTTTTGTGTCGTTTTTAAATGTTTTTGTTTGTACCCCCCTTCCCTGGTGAGTTGTGAGCCGCCCTGAGTCCCCTTCGGGGGAAAAGGGCGGCATATAAATAAAATCAACATACAACACATACAAACTCTATGTGCAGATCATTCAACAAGCCATTTATCCATGGGCACTTCCACCTCATCCATTAACCTTTTTCATTTGGCCATATCTGAAGAAAGCAATGAAAAGTCTGGGTATGGGGGGGGGGGGAAGACAACTATCCTTGTGGACAAGAGTTACATGAGATACCTCCATTTAAGTTTTCACAATTTTCATTGCTAGTATCCTCGATTCTTGCCAGCTGGCATAATAATTTTCTTTGAATCTGTCTGTTTTGAATGATTTTATCTCCAGAACAATAAATTCTCCATTTGTGTGCTTAGTGTTTGTGTGTGGAGCATCAAAATGAAGCCATTTCGTTAATCTGTTGTTTCTGCATCTTAATTTCATTGATTGTAAGCATCTCTGTAAAATTATCATTGACCTGCATAGCTTGTAGGAACCATGAATTTATAACTGGAAAGGGAAGAAACAAAACATCAAATTGCAGAGATGGAAGAGGTGAAGACAAGGCCAATCATAAATGATCCTGGGGTCATTCTTCTTTCAAGAAAGATGACTATTTTTGGCATTATCTCATGAACATGAAAAGAGTATGGAATTTGATCAACATTTAAGAAAAGTATTTTTAGTGTGAGGAAAATGGAGAATTTTAAATGTTAGGCAGTCTTTTTTAAGGCTAGGATTTGAGGGGTCACACAATGAAATTAATTCACAGTAAATTTGAAAAAGACAAAAGGACACGTCACCTAAAGTATAATAAATTGTTGTGCAATTATTGCTTTTCAGATGTTTGTTACTTGGAAATGCATTTAACTTGACAACCTTGGAAGTTCAACCTAAACTCTTTTAAGATTGTTCTCATAACGGCAGTGCCACCTAGTGAGTTTTGTTAGAACCACCAATCCAATATCCATTTTCTCCATTTCTTTTCTTTGTGATGTTGTCCTGCCATTTGTAAGATCTGGAGTTTGAATAGGAATGATTTGATTGATCATACAGGGTGTTCAGTATTGCTCTGAAGTATTGAAGGACCTTAACTGATACCTTTACTTATCAATTATGGAAGTAAGGGCAAAAGTGAGGATGGGGTGATGCTCACCATTCTCTCTGCCACTTTTTAAAAAATATATATATATATCCTGGGTCAAAATTTAGAAGGATCCTTCAACTCCAAAAAGTCCTTCTTGGCACACCATTTTTGAACCAAAAGCCGGTGGAAATATAACACAATTGAATGAATGTTTTTCTGCCCCAGTTTTTTCTCAGATACCAGTGAACTCCAAAGGTCCATTTTCTATTTAGCAGATTTGTTTCAAATAAATCACATGTTAACAGTATAAGCCTTTGTGACTTTCTTCTTCCATCTCCTCCTCTTGGTCTTTACTGATGGAATCAGGCTTAATAAAACTACATCTAGAACAAATGTTTCTCTGTGTGCTAAACTCCAAGGAGGTGGATTCAATTATGCTGTACTTTTGCACTGTGCATAAACACTATACTTGGCACTTATGTTTAATAACAACAGTGGAGAGCTGTTGAGTTTGATTGCAATCTTAGTTCTAACAAAACGTCTCATAAACATTTGGGTCCTTTTAGATAAAGGAGGCCTTGAAAAGTTTGATGTATTTCCAGTCCATGTAATACCTTAAAAATTGTAGACGAGGACGTAGTACTTGTTTGGTTATTATTCATGCGTTCTATTATAATTACTAACAGTGGTTGTATCAAAAGCAAACATCAAATGCTAATTTCTTCCTGACCCACTTTTTCAGTCAGTCTAGAAATTGGGGCTACTTGGTCTAGGTGGCCTTAAATGCCTTGGGGATTGCACTCTTCACTGTAGATCAGTGGTTCCCAAACTTGGCAACTTTAAGACTTGTGGACTTCAACTCCCAGAATTCTCCAGCTGGCTGGAGAATTCTGGGAGTTGAAGTCCACAAGT